GATCACGTTCAAACGGGAAAGTAATCAACAGATCAAGATCAACGAAACCAAACAAATGAAAATGGTAAATCTTCAAGAAAACTAGATCTCTCTCTTGATGCGACTAAATCTGCAATTCTGACTGGATTTGGCGCGATTGCGACGTGATTAGGGCCTGGGCTCTTCAGGATCTGGACGTGGCAGAGCTAGGCTTGTCGGGGTCTGGGAGTGGCGAAGCTTGGCTGGTCAGATTTAGGCGTTGCGAAGTTGGCTTGCCGGATCTGGTGACAGCGGAGTTGGCTTGCTGGATTTGGGCCGAGGAGAAAGAGGGGGTTGTACCGACGGGAGAGGGAAAGGGGGTGAATGGAGAGATATAGAGGGGATAAAGAGATTTTGTTGAGATAGAGAGAGAAGAGGAGAGATTACCCCTCATTTGATCCTTTGGAGATGTGGGAAATCTGGGTTTGGGTGACCTGCAAAATGTTTTCAGCCACCGTCCAAAGCAAAATGATTTTTTGTTTGTTGGATACTAGTGAGCAGTGAGCAATTAAAAAGTATTTAATATATTATTTAAAATACTATTAAATGTATTTTCAGTTTTCAAAAATTACACCACCAAACGCAGTTTCAGTTTTTTTTTTAAATTGAAATCAATCTCTGAATAAAACTACCAAACACATTTTCAGAAATAATTCTAAAATGAAAATGAAAACGTTTTCATTTCCATTTTCATACAGAAAACAAAATCATTTTGAAACCAATTCCAAACGCACCCAATATTTTCCTGAAAAATAAAGTCTAGCACACCTAATTATATCCTTTATTTTTTAGATAAAATCAATTTAATACCTTATGTTATAGTAAAATATGCTCTTAATACATTCTATTTTTGATAATATTAAAATGGCACCTTAACGATTTAACAAACTTTCTTTTGGCACCTTCACGTTAATTTTTAAGACAAAAAATATCCTTTATACCCTTTGGGGGCGTTTAGTATGCAGTAATCTTAAGGATGAGAATGAGAATCTGCAATATTACCATGTTTGGTACGAGAGTTATAATATTTAGATTCTCAGGAAAGTGATTACCATGAGATTTATTTTCCCTCATTTTAAGGTAATTTGAATACCACCCAACATGGGGGGCATTTGGTATGGGGTAATCATAGGGGTGGGAATGAGAATCTTTCAGATTCCCATGTTTGGTACAATTATTAGACTTTTTTAAAACACAAGAAAGTGAAGCCCATGGGTTTCACATTACCACATTTTGGGGTAATTCTAAACCCACCCAACAGGGTGTTATTTACTTTCCCAGGAAAGTAATATTCACGGGAAACCTCTCTCTCGTCCATTTCTCTCACCCACCATCTCATCCATCTCTCTCTCTCGACCATTTCTCTCACCCACCTATCTCATCCATCTTTCTCTCTCTCTCGTCCAGATCCAACCTCTCTCTCGTCCAGACCTAGCACCGCTTCCGTCGAGGACGCCGCCGCCGCCGCCTTCTGATCCACCACGCCGTTGCCGGACTTTCCTCTGCCGCCACCACCAGAGTATGATTCCTTTTTTTATCCTTTTTCTGTGAAAAATTTTTGATCTGAACTTTCTGATTTGAACGTCGTCGGCATCGGCGCATCTGGGTTTGAACCAGAGCAGCCACGATTTCAAAAATCCTTTTTTGGCCACAATTTCTGGCGCTGGGTTTCTGAATTTGTGTGTTTTTCATCCTTTTTTGGCCACGATTTCTAGCGATGGGTTTCTGGATTTGTATATGAGTATGTTGAAAACCGTACATAGCATTTACAAATGCCTTGCCTTTTTTAAACCGAATCTTTAGAGTCAAAATGAGAGTGACTTAGCATGTCTTGAAATCACTCGTATGAATAGGAGAACATTTACTATCCTATGTAACTACCTTAGAACCATTGGCAATTTGAGGGGAACAAAAAATATGGATGTTGAAGAATTGGTAGCTATATTCCTACATATATTAGCTCATGATCAAAAAAATAGGATTATGAAACGCCTATTTGCACGCTCGGGTGAAACAATAAGTAGACAATTCAATATTGTCTTAAAAGCGGTGTTACGTCTCCATGAAGTATTGCTATAAAAGCCAGAGCCAGTTCAAGAAACTTCCACAGACGAAAGGTGGAAATGGTTTAAGGTGAAAATTTTAAATATCTCTAATTCTTTATTATTTGTATGTTAATATGTTGTAGGTATGTGGGCTAAAATTATTATTTGTGTTTTAGAACTGTTTGGGAGCACTTGATGGAACATACATCAAGGTCAATGTGTCTACATCGGACGCGCCTAGGTACCATTCTAGAAATGGTGAAATTGCTACCAACATGTTGGGAGTATGCTCTCAAGATATGCAATTTATATATGTATTGCCCGGATGGGAGGGTTCCGCAGCTGACTCAAGAGTTTTACGAGATGCTTTATCTAGGAGGAATGGGTTGAAAGTTCCACAAGGTAAATATGTATCTTCTTGACAGTTATAGAGTCGTACACATTAAAATGTGTATGCATTTTAATTTTTCTAATATATATTGAAATGATTTACAGGATATTACTACTTATGCGATGCTGGTTATCCTAATGGTGAAGGCTTTTTGGCTCCTTATAGAGGACAACACTACCATTTAAATACATGGACGTACCCTCCTGAGACTCCTGAAGAGTTTTTTAACATGAAACATTCATCGGCTAGGAATGTTATTGAGAGGACATTTGGACTTTTGAAGGGGTGATGGTCAATTCTTAGGGGAAAATCATTCTATCCGATCAATGTACAATGTAGGATTATTGCCGCATGTTGTCTTCTTCACAACTTAATTAGGAGGGAAATGGCTATTGATCCTTATGAAAGACAATTGGAAGTAGAAGAAGGAGAAGAAGAGGATAGTGAACAAGAAGTAGAGCATTACACACATATTGAAACATCCAATGCTTGGACTGTATGGAGAAATAACATGGCTAGGGAAATGTTTGACCAATGGCGGGGAAATCACCATTGATATGGTTTTTGTATGACATTGTTGTTGTGATTCATAATAAATTTGTATGACATTGTTGTTGTGATTCATAATAATATGTATGACATTGTTGTTGTGATTCATAATAAATTTGTATGACATTGTTGTTGTGATTCATAATAAATATGTATGACATTACTATTGTGTACACAGAATGGATGCTAATGTAAGGAAGCATCAATGGACTACATTGGAAGATTCAAAGCTAGTAGAGTGCTTATTGGATATGGCTAATAGTGGAAAATGGAAAGCAGATAATGGTACGTTCAAGCCTGGTTACTTACAACAATTGGAGAAAATGATGAATGAAAAGATTCCACAATGTGGGCTTAAAGCACAACCACACATTGATTCTCGTGTGAAGATATTGAAGAAACAATATCATGCTATTTCTGAAATGTTAGGCCCTGCCGGTAGTGGCTTTGGTTGGAATGATAAGGATAAATGCGTTGTGGTTGAGAAAGATGTGTTCGATGAGTGGGTTAAGGTTAGTATTTTTTTATCCGGTTATAAATTTCAAGTTTTAGTATTATTAGGCTCTTTTATTATTTAATTTACATTCCATTTATATTACAGAGTCACCCATCTGTGAAAGGCTTAAGAAACAAGTCGTTTCCTTATTATGATGAGTTAGGACTAGTGTTTGGAAAGGATCGCGCTAATGGACAAGGTGCAATGGGATTGACTGATATGGTTGATGACATTGATAAAGAAACAGAAAATGATATTGATTATGATTCCTTGCTTATGTCTGATGAGAACATGGATACTGCAAGTATTGGTGGTCCTAGCATACAAACAACTTCAACACCATTAGCATCAGGAAGGAAAAAGAGAAAGAGATCACAATGTGGAGATGTATTGGTTGATGCTTTAACTGAGACAGTACATAAGTTTTCTGATATGTATGCTATGGCTGGTGAGAATATTGGCAGGCTTGCTAATTGTTTTCAATATGAGGCTGATGGTACTGCAAGGAGGATGCAGGTGTTTGATGAAGTAAAGAAAGTAGAAGGACTAACAAATGCACAATGAGTACAAGTCGGAAAACTTCTTGTCCAAAACCATGACTACACCAACTATTTCTTCACGTTGGATGATGAATTTAAGTTAGATTTTCTTCTATCTCTTTTGGAATGAGTTAGGTTGAAGCTTTTAGTGCTATATTTACAAACTTGAGTACATTGTCTAATATTTAGATATTTTGATGGCATCTTTGGAACTTTTATACGCGGTCCTAGATTTGCAACTTTTAATTTCAAGTTTTGAACCTTATTCGAGCATATTTTCTTATATTTAGAACTTTTGTAAGAATTTTTTAGTATAGAGGATTTTGTGGACTACTTATTCTCTATTATTTGATATGTTCTCTATTATTTGATAATTTTATGAACTACTTGTTGTGTTATATTTTATACTTTTTTAAAATATTAGTGCTAATTGTAATTCATTTAAAAATAATATATATTTTTTAATTCACAACATTCCCATGCACAACCAAATATAGTAATGTAATATTTTTGAAAATTTGTGAAAGATTCATGTATGGAACCAAACACAGTAATGTATTATTCCTAGGAATCATATTACCCTCCATCACTTTCTCGGAAATATGATTCCTACTGATTCCTGCATACCAAATGCCCCCATGGTGTTATTCAAATTTTCAAGAATCTCAAAATCATGGGAATTTTATTATTATAATAATAATAATAATAATTATTATTATTATTATATTTATTATGGATATTCTTGTATGCGAACAACTAAACACAGTAATGTAATATTATTAGGAATTTAAAAAAGATTTATGTATGGAACTATAATATATTATTACTAAAAATCATATTACCCTCCATTACTTTCTTAAAAATATGATTTCTACTGATTTTTGCATACTAAACGCCATGATTAATTTCTTTAAGAAGTAATTGTTAATTTAAAAAAAAAAATACAAAACAAGAACAAAACCCATCATTAAGAACGAAACCAAGATCTACCACAATCAAAACCAACTAACCAAGATAAAACAAAAACCTGATCCGTTCTTAATTCTTATATCAGAATCAAATGTTTGATTGAAACCGAACATGTACTTCTTGCTTTTACTCCCAAACATATTAAAATCAAATTAACCCTTTTTGCAATTAAGGAAAAAAAAAAAAAAACCCAAAACTTTGCTTCAAACCTTTGAAGAACTCGAAGGCAATCGGACAGTCAATTGGAATCAGTGATGGTTCTTCCAAAAAAGAACAAGAATCTATAATCAATCCATCCATTGTTGGTCGCCGGACATATCTAGCCCTAACCTCTCTCTCACCCATCTCTTCCCAGACCCAGCCACCTCTCTCTCGTCCAGTCTTCCGTCGACCACGCCGCCGCCGCCTTCCGATCCACCACGCCGTTGCCGGACCTTCCTCTACCGCCACCACCGGTATGATTCCTTTTTTCTTCTTTCCTCTGCCATTGCCAATCTATGTTAGTTTTTTTTTTTTTTTTTTTTTTTAATCTTGATTTCAATTTCATACCGGCATCAATCTCATTTGTGGCATTGATGGATTGTATAGGTGGTATTCTTTTCGATCTGTGATGTTAATTTCTTGGTTTTTTCCTCTTTTCTCTTTGCTGGATCCGTATGAGCATGGTTTGTTTTTAATCCCCAAATGTATAACAAATTTAACTTAACATAATCTGATGAAGATGTAATTCTTCTTCATGATTTTGATTTTGATTTTTTTTTTTCTGGATCATGAAGTATTGGTCCCTAGAAAATTTGCTGTTCCAATGCGAAACGAGTAAAAAAAAAAAAAAAAAAACTTCAATGAAGCACAAGAGACAGGGGAGACCCGCTGGGCTTGAGGCTCCGTTAGCATTGGTATCCGCTGCAGAGGCGTTTATAGTCCATTTGATCTGCGCCGTTGGATTGGCCGTCTCCTTATGGGTGGCCCACAATCTTCTCTTCAACAGTCTTATCTCTCATCCTTCCCAAACCCTTTTCCTGATCTGGGTATTCTTTATTTTATTGATTTCTCTTGTTCATTCATTTCTGTCAATTTAAATACTCGTTTCGCTTTGTTAATGGGGTTTCTTTATTTAAGGTGATTGAGTGCCCTGTTGTGATTCTTCTTTACAGTCATTATAGGCAGAACCGTCAACAATCTTCTGTAAGTTTCGCTCTTCTTATTCTTGTTGCATTTTAGTTGCTGATCTTCTTTTTCTTGTTGCATGCTGAGGGATTGTAGCAGAATGCAAAAATTAACAAATTAGTAGTATCCTTATTATTATTCAATGTTACATTCATTATTCTTATGTTATCTTTGCAACCGGATTCATTCTTTAATAACTTTATCACTTTTCTCAGTTGGGTTGATTTTCTACTTTTTGTGTTTGTTGGTCAATGTGAATTTCAGTACTTGAGAGCTGTTGGGCGTGGCATGCTCACACTACTTGCTGGTTAGTTCAAAACTGGAAACTGTATCATGCTCTACTTTGAGTTTTAGTACTTTTGTTGCTTATGTGAGTTTATCCAAAATTAGAAAAACAAAAATGGAAATGGAAATTGGTTAAAAATACTGTATTTCTAAGTGAGATAATGATGAAAGTAGATTGTTTAATGTTTTCTGTGTAAAAGGTTGCCGTTTTATGTAGTGGCTTGTTTCATGTTTTTTGGGGTGTTATTTGTTGTACATTTTTTGCAATATATCTTAAGAATGTATTTATTAATGGCATGTTTTGTGTTTTCTATGTAGGGGCTCTGGTGAGTGCTTTTGCAGCAATTGCTTTGGGTGCACCTGTTGGCGCCAAGTATGTCACTTAAGAGCTCGATATGTTTTTAGCGACACACACAATTACAAATCTACACACAGTATACACAGATACACACATCACAAATTTAATTTTAGATTCCTTCGTCACTTGTAGTCTTATTGTAAAAAACTTCAGTTAGTTTACTTGTAACCCTGTTCCTTCTTGATTCAGGTATTTATCAAGTACCATTAATTGGTCTATGATGATGTCTTTGTTCGCGGTAAAAATCAAAATGGCTCCTCGCTTCTCTGCATTTAAAGTTTGGATGTTGAAATTTTCTGTTTGGGCTGTTACCTTACTAGCCTTTTAAGTAATCTCATCTTCAGTGTTCTTTTACTTGTCTATATTGATCACTCATTTTCAAGACTAATTTGTGCTTGCCTGTGTTTGTCATTAAGATGTTAAATGAGGTTAATATTAGTAGACTATTTGGCTGTGTTTTATTATCAGAGAACTGAATATATTATAATTTCATTTTTGTTATTTTGCTTAAATATACTCATCTCAGATAGTTTCTTGAAGATGAATGCTTTCACTAAAACCTAATTTTTCCACGTTTGCCATGCTTTCCATGTTATGCCTCTGATACATCGATTAATGACTATTTGTTTTGGCAGGTTGTGCCTGCAGCTTCTGTTTTTGGTTCTTCGTGGACAGATTGGCAGCGCCTATTTGCATGTACAAAGTAATTTTCTTTACCATGTATAGTTATGTGTAACCTTTACAGATGTTTTCTTTGATCGGTATTCTGTTTCAGTTCAGAGAGAGCTTTTCTTCAACTGATAATTGCTTCCAACCAAGTGATTTGTCTATTGTTGACATGACATATATGTCTATCAAATTGCAGGCCAGTTGGAACTGTAGATTACATGATTTGTCTACCCGCACATGGAGCTATAATTGGATCTTGGTTTGGGGCTTGGCCTATGCCACTTGACTGGGAAAGGCCATGGCAGGTATGGTTGTTATATTATGAAGAAAAGAGAAACATTACATTGCATATTTATAATTTTTTGTGTTGAACTCTAACGGTTGGTTTAGCAGTCGGACCTGTGGTTCACTCCCACATAGTTTGGGGTTTACTTCCTTAGAAACATTACATTGCATATTTATAAGTTTCATGCTTCCCACAGATTTTAGAGATCTGTTTCTAACTAAAGCCTCCTAGGATGATATGGGACTTATGGCTCAAGAAGACACGGTCTTTTCTTAGGGTTTGTCAAGAATACTTAGTTGCATTGCTCTAAAGAGATTAGATAGGTAGCATCTCATACGAGTATTGGAGGTTTAAATATTCTGAACTCACGTGTGACCTAATGAAAATGCCGTCCGCGGGTAACTTTTTTTCCCCGAACCTCGAGAAATGTTAATAGGAGAAAAATGTATGAAATTAAATTCCCAATGGAATTTATAATGTCAGATCCTTAATGTCACAACCTGCTGCCAGGCCACTAGCATAAGTCGGTGGAAGCCTGCGTCGCAGAAAATACATAACATAACACTTATATAGATTCTTAAAAAAAGTGAAATTAAAGATTTGTATTAAACTAAAATCTCATTAGGTGTGGTGGGTGGTCCCTCCACAAATACCCAATTAGAAACTTTCACGATCAATAAACTTAAAAATAAAGAAATTGGTCCACATGTTTTCAAAATCGTTTTTTGTGCTCTATATTTTCAAAATTACTTTTGGGCTCCTCTACTGTTGCTAAAATTACAAATTTTACCTTAGAATGAAATTTTTGCGTAAATTCCCTCCTTGACTAATTTCAACACCGGGATTAAGAATCCGACATTAGAAATTCCATTTGAAACTTAATTTCATAAGATTTGCTCTAGTTAACGTCTTTTTGTTTTTTTTTTTTTTGGTGAGAAAATATTTCCAGACGGTATTTTTGTTGTGTCAAGCAAGAGTTTAGGATATTTTTAGGTTCTCTAACTTTCTGTACATGTCTGAATTCTGTCTTTTTTTTTTTTTTTTATTGATAATCATGTGTGAATTACATGTTAATATGTAGGAGTGGCCTATATGTGTGAGTTTTGGAGCTATAGCTGGATACCTCATTGGAATGGTGGCATCATTTGGATTTGTACTAGTCCGTGGTATACTGCAACATACAAAAAGTGACTAACTAGTGCACAATCAACTAATTAACTAGTAGATAATGTTATATATGAACGTGCATTTTAAAGCGTCAAAGTTATTTGGGGTTAACGTCATTTTTTTTTTTTTGGTTCCTTTAAATTGTGTGCTTGTAGATATAGTCATTTATTCATGTATTTACATTTATTAATGGTTTACAATGGGTGACTAAAAAGATAAAAAAGAAAAGAAAAGGAAAAAAAAAAGATTCAAAGGAAGTGAAGCGAGTATGATTATTTTATTTATTTTTTCCTGTTGGGAAAGTGAGCATGAATTCGTTATCCTCCAAGATGACTAGGGAATGACTCCTTTGAGTCAGGGCAAAATTATCTTCTCTCTATCTAGGTGAACTATTAACACGAGTCTTTTGTTCAGAAAAAAGCATGGTATTAGGAAAAAACTTTAATTATTTATTTATTATTATTAGTATATTTTTTTGCTGAAAAAGAAGCACGTTTTATGTAATGGCTGGATGCCTATTAAGTTGAAAGGAAAGTTTTACAGGACTGCAATCCGCCCAGCTATGTTATATGGTAGTGAATGTTGGGCTATTAAGAAACAACATATATCTAAGATGAGTGTGGCAAAAATGTGTATGCTAAGATGGATAAGTGGCCATACTCATATGGATCGCATAAGGAATGAAATTATTCGTAGTAAAGTAGGTGTAGCACCAATAGAAGATAAGGTGCGCGAAGACCGCTTGAGGTTGTACGGGCATGTCCAACGTAGACCATTAGAAGCACCAGTTCGTGTTTGGGAGGACATTATTATACCTAATACTAGGAGAGGGAGTGGTAGACTAAGAATTACGTGGACCGAAGTAGTTAGGAAAGACATTCTAGATCTAGGCCTTCAGGAAAGTCTAATTTCGAACAGAGCTGCGTGGAAAAGTGAAATCTATATAGCCGATCCCAATTAAGTTGAGATTAAGGTTTGTTATTGTTGTTGTTGCTGAAAAAGAAGCACGTGCATGACAATCAGATGTTTCAGAGTGAACTGGTTAGTCTTTTAGATAACTAGTGTGGTGCACATTGCAACGTATGTGTTTATGCCTCTAGCCATGTTAGTTTACCTTTAAGAAGTTGTGATCTTTTAATTTTTTACCAAATTTGATAGTGGTGATATAAAAAGGTTGCGTAACTTAACAAGGCTCATTGGGCAACCAAATAGTTGTAGTGGTGCCATGTATATTATAGAAGGCCACGTACATGTTAGTGCATTGTGATCATTGCATCTTTGAAATAGAATGATTTGGTCTCATGTTAGGCCGTTTGTTTCACGCGTTTAAAACTATAATTCTGATTCTGTTATAATACTTTTCTCTGAAAAAAAAATTTGAATAAAAAAAGTTATTGCCAATCGTTCTCTTACGTAATTTGAATTGAGAATCAAAATCACTGACTTTAAGAGTGCTCTATGTGTCACTGTGTTTTGTATGCTAATATTGTATATTTCTTTACATTGCACATGACACTTCTCTTTCTTTACAACGAACAGAATTGACTGTAGCATTGCTTTAGAACAATAATGTGTAATCTCATTTCTATTCAAATCCTACTTGTACAATGACATTTGTGGGTGGGTCGCAGTTTTTCTTAAAAAAAAGTTGAAAAAGAGGTGTTTTAGGCTTTTAACCTATGACATTTTGACCCATTTGGATGGGGATAAAAGTCCCCAGTTTCTCTAAGATTTATTTTTTATTACTGCATTCCAGTCTTCATGACACACAAATACTACACATAAGCTTCTATAATATTATTTCTACATGTTGGGGAAGCCAATATGTAGAAAACATGGCAGTTATAGCAGATCTACGTTTATAGCTAATGCTTTCAGCAATCTACGTATTGTTCGCTGAATTATTGGCTACATTCTTTGGACTAGTAAACTCAATTTTAGTTATGTAGGCTCTGTTCATTTCACCGATTCGAGTTTAGAATTTGAGTTTTACTACAATAAAAATCTCTCAACAACAATCACATTTAATTTTCTTACTACAATAAAAAAATTCGCATAAAGTCACATCTCAACTCGAATTAAAAACTTGAATAAGCGAACTAAACAACAACTTGTTAGGAGCTTTGTGGTACATTCTGTTATTTTGCTATAAGACCTTGGGTAGTCATTCTTAATTACAAGATTAAGGATTATGTTATGGGATTACTTTTAAAAATGCCCCTGAAGTATGTACTTTGTTTCAAAATGCCCCCGAAGTATGTACTTTGTTTCAAAATGCTCCCGATTTTTAAAAACAATTCAAAACACTCCCGATCTATAGAAAACATATCAAAATGCCCCATCTGTCCAATTTTGTCTGTAACCCAAACGGTTTTGCTTATGTGTCATGTAATTAAACATTAATTAAAGATATTTAGTTCTAATAAAATGAATAAAAATGATTAAATATTAAAAAAAATAAAAAAAAATAAATTTAAAAAATTCAAATATTAAATAAATCAAACATCTTTTATTCAAAAATCATAAAATTCAAAAGAAAGAAAATCGTCCACGCAAATTTTATTCAAAAAATCAAAAAAAACCAAAAGAAAGAAAATCATCTCCATCCTCTTCACCTCTCTGCAGGTCAAAATGGCAACTCTCATATGATAGGCAAGCCATCTTTCTAGCCAAGAAGGATTTAAAAAAAAAAAAAAAAAAAAACCACGAGCCATCTGTTTATTAGTAAGAAAAACAAAAGAAATGAACCAATTTGGTTAGCCTTCATCCGAATTTAGAGTATCAGTAAACACTTTAAAATTTCCCTCAATAATTATCCAGCTCTAATTAATCTAACAACAGTTGAGTTGCACCAAGCAGTATGAGAAAAATGTCGATTTTATCTACAAAGTCAAAGAAAGCTCACCTTCGCCGATTTCAACCAAATCGGCGGTGCCAATGAACAAACCTGCGTCAAACAATACCATTAACAGATCCAAGAGAGCTCTCTTAATGATAGCGTTTCAGTGACGAAGTCGCCTATGGAGTAGGATGCTTGGTAGCACAGATGTCTAATCGCTTCATGTTAGACAGGGCTAGTTTGAGGTTGAGATTGAGCGATTTGACTTAAGAGGCAGGACGAAGTTGTGGTAGTCCTCATGGTTGGATGTGAGGAAGGAATCACGAGACTAGAGGAGAAAAAAGGAGTGAGCATGGTTGGTGGAGGTGGGGATTAGGGTTGTGTACTGGTCAAGAACGGGTTTGAGGATTTGGGGGTGGAAGGAGACGATGTTTTTTTTTTTAGAAATGTTAGGGTGCGTTTGGAGTAAGGATCCGTGTCATGATTCGGATCACGGTTCATGACTCGCTACAGTGTTTTCTTTCACAAAAAAAATACACGTAAACTGAGCATGGTTCTGAATCTATGAACCAAACGTCCTCTTAATCATTCTGTTTTAGTTACTCATTTATTAATTTTCTAATATTTAATCATTTTTTAAATATTAATGTAGTTAAGTTTGTTTTAATTAAAGGTGAAAATTTAGACCGTCTGGTGCAACCTAGCTCGGGCTCGGCTGAAAAAGCCCAAGACCATAGAAGTTTGATGAGATATGAATTACAGAACTTATGGAAAGGCAACCACTTTTTGGTATTTCTCTACCTTTATAGGTGTGAATTAGAAAGGAAGGGCAAATATGAAAAAAAGAAAAAGCAATATTTCACTTATTACAGTTAGTCGCAGGACTTGATATGTGATGTTTCAAAGGAAAGTAGAAGAGGCAAAGATAGCTTGGCATCCCTCTGTCATGCTCTCCATCAATATATGAGTGTTGTTGTTATCAAACCTGCAGTTTCAACCAAATCTATATCAGTTGAACTTTCTTAATATCAAATTAGGTGATGCAAATAAACAATACCATTATAGGACTAATGGCATGAAATAACCAATTTTCTGCGGGGGCATAAGTGGTGACTGCAGGGCCACAGCCAAAAACATTATACAATGTCGGACTTGACCTTTCTCTCCCCCTCTATTTGTACCCCAATAATCTTATTAAAGTGCCATATGCATTGTAGGATTTGAGGCCAGTAGTAGTACTGCAGCTATATCAAGAAAGATATAACAAAATACAAAGTTCAACAATCCGAGAATGAAAACAACATTATTAAGTGCAGTTCTAATTCCACTACAAACCAAAGCGACGAAGGAAAAAAAAAAAACGTAGCAAGAGGTGTCTCAAACAAACATGAACATCACCAGTTTCTTAAGCCAACACAACAAAAGAGAGAAAATTTTGAAAATAAAACAGCAACTAAGTCTCTTTTGAATCACCCTTACGCAGCGGGAGGCCAAAATGTCCCATGTTAAAAACCGTCATGCCACCTACTTAGGCAGCTCCCTCCTACAGAACAAGTGAAACAGAACTTTAAACAAGATGAAAGTCGATAGATGCGCGTTACGTTAGCCTAGTTGAATACATGTTTCAGTTGTAAAATTTAAGTATTAACAAGAAATAAAGAACAGATTTTATAGAATACTAACAGCAATAAAATATAGTTTCCAGATAATAAAAATTATATGATTGCGTGAAACAAAAAACTCAGTTTGTTTATATTGATAATGAAGTTATTATGCAACGCTTTCAAAATATAAAAACTCGACAAGGACAATTTTAATATATTTTTTAGTTATTGAGAAATACTATGGTAATATTTTTTATATTTACTGTTGTTGTAAAATAAGCTTTATGCCCCCACCGAAATTTTATCCTGCCACTGGTCATGCCACCTACTTAGGCCAGCTGATCCCTACAGAACAAGCAAAGCGGAACTTTAAACAAGATGATGAAGTCGATAGATGCACGTTACGTTAGCATAGTTGAATACATATTTCAGTTGTGAAATTTAAGTATTAAGAAGAAATAAAGAACATATTTCATAGAATACTAACAGCAATAAAATATAGTTTCAAGATAATAAAAATTATATGATTGCGAAGAAAAACAACTCAATTTGTTCATATCTAGAGTAACAACTAATAAGAGCGCAGAGTTCTACTAACATTTGGATTAGACGAACTTGCTAGTACCAGAGTGACTTCTTCTAAACATTTGTATGTATGTAGAATTCTCTGTTAATGCTATATGCTAAAAAGGAATAGCAGGAAAACTTTTTCAAAGGAATTAAAAATAGTGGGAAAAAAGATTGAAAGTTGTGTGTCTATTTTGAAATGTTGATAAGCATAATAA